TCCATCGACTTACAACTTTCAAACTGAGATAGATAGGGATTACTTTTGAGAAATTTACAAAATTATAAAGAATTCTTTTGCAGGAAATACTAATCTTATAATTACCGCGCGTGAAAAAGTGCAAGGAATTCGGGGTTCTCAGAAAATCGCTCTTGAAAAATCGCTTTCCTACTCAAAACAACAGAATATGGTACAGTTTTTTTCGCAACGGACGGTCTTTTATCGCCCAAAATTTCCCTTTACTATAGGTAAAAATTGAAGATATCTTCAATCTACAAAAGTGTTTGCGTGAAAGTTAAATTTTGCAAATCAGAAAGGCAAGTTTTTTGGAAATCCCGTAGGGTAACGTTAGCCCATTCTTCTCTAATTTACAACGAGGTCTCCTTTAACTTTGTCCTTGTATCGACTATGTATTGGTAATGATTTCGTCGAATTCAGCCCAATGGGCGACAAGGAAGGCGGCCTAAATTAATTTACATTGACAATACCGAAATGAGGAAAGATTCATCGATAGTAGAAATATCACTGAACTGGCGATCACCGCTACTGAGATTTTACGCAAGAGCACCATGGCGAACTATTTTAGACAATTTCGTGAGTTCCAGAGAACAACTTCAGCACCACGCAGCGTGAACTTATCTTTCACTGCCACATAACTTCAATTCAATAATGTAGGTGATTTCGTGCCGACCTTGTTTCACCATGTTGACAGTTCAATCCCTTTGAATTGACGTGTGTTTTTTGTTGTTCACGACACGTGACTATGTCTTTGACTATCTTTCGGCTTTTTGGGGCCGCTCGGCTCGCCGTGGTTGTTTTGTGTGTTTTTTTTTCGGCCCTTTACGACCTTTTAAAAGCCCTATTTGATGTTCTCGTTTGATAATCTGCTATGATGTTTGTTTTTACTAGCATTGGAAAACCAAGAACATTTCGCGTTACTGAAAAGAATCGGGATTAATTAGACGAGGGTTAAGGCAGGGTTAAGTGCCCTTTTACCATGTTAGGCATGTAGCTCTGGTGAATTTGCATTTTATTGTCAGTTGTTTTTTATTTTTGTTTATACAGGCCAGTGATTAGTTAGTCTAATACCTGAATGGTTATTTACTTTCTGCTTTCGGCTTAGTCTCACCGTCTCAGCGTTGCCTACCCTGGAATACTAAACAAATTTCTTTTTTAGAAAAAGAAAACTTTAAAAACGTCCAATTTCAAATTATTCTTCGAAGAAAACTAAGATATAATTAAGATCAAGTGCAGTGGGTGTTCCTTTGGATAAGCGTGATTGATAAAAAAAAAAGAAAAAACTATTCAGAGAACCAAAACCGGATTACTCGCCCCAGACCTCATTAAAATAATAACAAAGTGAGGCAAGAGTAGTTGGCATCATGTGATAAAAAGAAATATCCCCTAAGTTACTTGAAAGCCTCTCATTTTCCCTCAAACATTGTTTTAAGAATTGAGAAACCATATTTTAACACCAGGCAGCATTGATTGAGGGAAAGGGGGAGAAATAGGAACGTTATAGAAAAAAATATCAGTAGCAGAGGTAGTCGGTAAGGATTTCATCTTTTCTTATTGCAGTTAAGTGTGCCATGACTTTGCCTTTCATTGTAGTTCTATTCTTTTTCCCCGAAGTAACAGAGGATTTGAAGAAAAAGGAAATAAATCATGGAATTACTTTTGTTACTGTTTATGCACCGCACGCATTATGGCCTGTAGTGGGTATAATTTTGTTTTTGTCTTTGCTCTTAAATTTAGCAAGACTAGTAGTTAATTGACCCTTTTTTACTTTGTTTTTCTTTTAACTCATTCCTACGCAGACGGTTTTTGATACGGTACATTTTGGCTAGTCTTTAATTTACCTTCACCAGTGTTACGAACCAGTCTAAACATGTTCTACAATCGCTTGTCACTTATGGAATTATTTCAACAATTTACAAGCAACAATCGCGCTTTTTAACCTCGTTTTTAGCGATACTCGCTAACTCCATGACAAATAAGCCCTGTAACAGCCGATGGCCTTTTTTTATGTCTAAGATAATGATACTAGGATATTTGTGTTGCAGACAATTTTAAATACGGCACATTTTGGCAACTCCTTAATGTCCCTTCGCCAATGTTATGTGTTAGCATGTTCTACAATCATCCTGTTTCTCATGGATTAATTTCAACAATTCAAAAGCAACAAACGCGCTTTTTAAACCCGATTTAGCAATACTCGATTACTCCGCGACAACTAGGCTTTCTTAGTACTAATGGCCTTTCTTCTTGCCTCTGATAATTCATTTTCACCTTGGTTATGTTGCAGCCAGAACAATGCCCGGGTTCAATTATTAAAGTTTGGCTCAGGGATTCAAATTGGTTTGCAATGACTGTCTTAAATATAAGCAAAACCATGCTGTAGTTAATTGCCCTACTTTAGTTGTTCTTTTAACTTGTTACTTCGCAAGCAGTTTTCAATTCGGCAAACTACCCTCTCCACCAGTGTGACGCAACCAGCCTCACATTGGCTTAATATGGTCTACAACTGCCCTGTTTCTTATGGTAATTTAGTTTAATTTCAATAAATTTGAGGTAACAATCGCACTTTTTATCCTCGATTTAGCGATATTCGATAACAGGGCGGAAACTATTCCTCACCGAGAATTCGGAATTATTTTGATTGCAAGATTATCCAACAGGCACGGCGCACGCCAATTGTTATCAAAGTATCAGCGTACTAATGCGAACAAGAAGCAAAAGTTGGGAAAGAGAAACGGAGGTAGCAACAAACCCAGTAGCTACCAAGTAGAATCCTTCTTCGACCTCCTTTAGAGAGGAAAAAATGTCCGCTAAGGAATGTTTCTGTTGGTCTTGCAACACATTGCTACGAGCCCAGAAGCCAACTGTTTTTAAAAATGCCCATTTTGGCTGCCCCTTAACCTATTTTTGATGGCTTTCCTCCCCAGTCTAAACAAATTTTAAAATTCTCTTGTTTTTAATGGCACGATTTCAACAATTCACAGGTAACAGTCGTCCTCTTTTAATCCGATATTCGATAATATCTTTATGACTAAGACTTTTCCAAGAATTCGGAGTTATTTTGGTCAGAGGATAAGCTAGTACGGCGCACGCTATGCATATCATAGAATCAGGGTGCTAATGCGAGAAACGAACAAAACTAAGCGAAATAAAAGGGGAAAAATGACTGACGCAGTAGCTAAAAAGTAACGCAAGATCCTTCTTCGAACTCCTTCGGAGAAGAAAAGAGGTCCACAGGTGTTTTGGTTGGTCTTTAGACACATTGCTATGAAGCAAGAAGCAAACAGTTTTCGTTCATGCCATTTTGATAACCTCTTTTCTGCGGTATTGCGTCATTAACCTTAACATCTTCTACAATTGTCCTGTTTCTAATGACATCATTTCGAGGAATTACAGTCAGCAATCGCTCTCCATAACAGCGCGAAAACTAACCCTTTTCCAAGAATTCGGACATATTTCGATTAACAGGATAATCCAAAAAGCTGGGTGCAACTAATGCAAAAGAGAAAAAAACAAAACAAAACAAAAAAACAAACAAACAAAGCAAAACAATGGCATGATTTTAACAAATTAAAGAAAACAATCGCACTCCAATAACCACCTGAAAACTAATTATTTTCCAAGAATTCGTAGCTATTTTGATAACAGGATAAACCACAGGTACGAGAGAGAAAAAAAAATAAGCAAAAACGGGAAAAAAGAGGAAACCAAAATTGATAGTAGCTAACAAATAACTTTTTATCCTTCTTTTAAAATTTCCTTCACAGAGAAGAAAAAAAGGTCCACAAGAGAACGTTTCAGTTTTTCCTTAGACTCATTGCTATGAATTGAAGCAAAAAGCAGACAGGTTTTTGTTAATGCCCATTTGGGTAGCCCACTGGTCGCCTCCTGGCAGTGGGGATTTTTAACCGCTTAGTTAAAACTACATTCTGGCTGAAAAGCCCCTAAGGGGGAGCCTCAATTAGCGTATATTATTATTATTATTATTATTATTATTATTATTATCATTGTTACTCTTTACCTCTCTCCTGCAGTGTTATGTAAGTATTATTAACATATTCTAGGGTTTTCCTGTTTGACATAATTCTGAGAAAATTACAGACAACAATCGCACTCTATAACCGTGTAGCAAATCATTTGCCCTTTTCTAAGAATTTGGACTTATTTTGATAGAAAGATTATCCAGAAAGTACGGCGTAAGTTATGCAATCAAAACGTATCAGTGTACTTATGTGAAAGACGAACAAATTTTGACGAAAACAAAAAAAAGAAGGAAAAATTGACGAAGAAGCTAGCAAAGAACATTAAATTATTCTTCGATCTCCATCAGAGAAAAACTACGTCCACAAAGTAACGTTATTGTTAGTCGTTCGACACATTGCTATACAGCAAGAAGCAAACAGGTCTCAGGAATAAAGCCCATTTTGGTTGCCCCTTAACCTAATTCAGTAGTGTTACGTCACCTGTCCTAACATGTTCTTAAATCCTCTCGTTTCAAATGGGAGGATTTCAAAAAATTCAGAAAACAATCGTTCTCTATGACCTCGTGACTACTAATCCTTATCCAAGAATTCGGAATTATTTTGATTACAGGGTAATCCAACAAGCAAGGCGCACGTTATACAATAAAATAAAAAGCAGGGAGCTAATGCAAAAGGGAGCAAAATTAATCTCAAACTATAAAGATGAAACAAAACGCACAATTGCTAACCAATTTTTGAAAATAATCCGTCTCCGATCTCCGTCAGAGAAGAAAAACATGTCCAACAAAAGGATGAGGAAGTGACCATTGCGTTGTTTATCCAGCTTATTAATTTCAAATAATTCCTTTAATTTTAAAAGCAGCTTTAGGCAACATAAGCCTAGCCTCGTTTCCATCAGATATATCAGGTTAATTTTTCCTCATGCATTCTGATGGCATGATTTAAGCTTGTTCCGACTGCTTCTTTTTGCATTCTGTTCTGAGAGCTTGGGACCAGAGGAGCTTCCAGCGAGGTTGCAACTTGTCCATACTGGCACAGGATGAGCTTAAAGAAACTTTTCGGGCTGTTTGCTTTCCTAGTGATTTCTCTTCAGCTGTGTCTATCAAGTGGTAAGTCTCCTGTTAATTTTGTAGCTGGTTTGATCTGATACTTCTAGTACACGTTTAGACAATTGTCAGTCTCATTGCTATTTTTGCTGATTATACTTTTGTTCGATTTCACGAGTTGAGGTGTACGGTACGTGTTGACATTGGTCGTATGGTCAAAAGTAGTGGCATTTTTCTGTCTCTCGTTATCCAACTCTGAGTTATTTTCAAAATTTTGATCTGGTTTTAAATGTTAGACGAATCCAAAAGCGTACGGTAAAGTTACCAATCTGAAACAACGCCCAATGGGGGAGTAAAACACACCTACAGGAGTTACGTCGATGTTAACTTCTTTGCCTTAAAAGAGTCGCGGCGAAAAAGTAAATAGTGAGTTACGCAATTTTTCATCCTTAGGCCTCAGTCCTATAAATGCTGATGAGTCAATGCATGTCAAGATAATTTTACGTAAGGCCTATAGAAGCAAGAATTTGTTCGTGGACAGAACAGTTTTCTTTTCAAATGACCTCCAATGTGAATTGGTTGGAAGGCACTGATATTACAGCTAACTCCACTTAAATTCCAACATTTTCCTTTCCTTATGTTCGGCATTGATATAATTAACCTGTTTGTGATATTCCTTTTAGCGGATGTCTACCAAGCTGGAAAGACTAACATAACTGACACCTCCCAAAACAATCACGGTTGCCAGTCCGTCTCTTTCGAAACGCAGTTTCAGGGCTCTGGTGACGTCAAGGTCTTTGTTACTCTTAGCCATGGCAACAAACATATCAAAATCCACGACCCAGCAGTACTGTGGGTAAAATCGATTTCTACGTCAGGATTTAAAGTTTGCGTTCGCGAGGCAGGAGGTGGTTCGGGAGGCAAGTCTGTCGTTAACTGGCTCGCCTTCCAGGGGTCTTATCAAGGAATCAAGTCTGGCACCGTAGACTTCGATGAATGGACTACAAGGACACAGTGCAAACGAGTATCGATCATCGATAACCGCAGTAGTGTAAGTCTCATTCGGAACTTGCTTAGTGCGTAGTTAAGTTAGTACTATAACATGTCTACCTAGAACATCAGTTATGAGCTACGCATTGTATAGGTAAAGCATCACCAGAAATCGGGAACATTTCGAGCCCGTTAATAAATGTCAGCGGTATATCGCACTACAGACAATTCAATATGGCGGCGGTGGAAGTGAAGTGAACAGATAACCTTCTATTTTCGTAAAACCCCACGAGAGAAAGGCCTTGTACTTTTCTATCCCAGAAAGCTAAAGGGGACGTCAAAAAAAAGAAAAATGGCGGCCAAATTGTGCAGTGACTGGGACTTGTATCTTTCGTGTTCTTCCTTCCTTAAATTGGGGTATTTAAAAATGCGTATTTGGCTTTTGACCTCTGTGAGAATACGAAGAGTTTCCCGGCTCGAGGAAAATTTGTGGGCCAACACATTTGACCGTTTACGAGCGATTTAGTTGAGCAAACTTCTGCAGAATGCATATCAAACTACGCAGTTGCGAATCTTCACAAGGTTGTTCCCACGACGAAAGAATTTTAAGACCTAGTCGAAGCAGATTTTAAGAGTTTGTATGGGAAAATGGAGTCAGAATTATGAGTTTACTCGTACACCTTGGGAACAGGTAGACTTGAATTTGAGTATTTCTTTTTCGTAGTGATGGCCGCTTTAACAGATGCAGGCTGCATTTCCAAGTACTCAGCGAAAGAAAATCCCATTCTTAGATAGCTATTTTGAAAAAACAATCTTTTCCCATACATTTTATTACACTGTTTCGGCGCCATTTTGCTTGTAACGCGAGAACCGCCTCCACCATATTGTCCCAAATATCTGGCAATGAGAAAAACTCAGCCAAAATAGAACCGTGTTAGCATCAGCGGAATGACCTTTAAAAGCGCTGTATGAATCTAACTGCTTTTAAGATGAGGTTCTCTAGCAAAAGCTCGGTTTGCCATTAATGACAAGGCCAGAGATATACGTTTTCTACTCTTTGCGAGATATGCGAGGGTTCTTTAACCTTTCATCTGATCTGAACATAGATTCACTTAAGCACCTACGACGGATAACGAGGCATTAAAAGTTGAATGTTCTGTTTCTAAATCTCTTGTTTATTTCCCTCTCACTCAATCATTATTACAGGGTTTCAAGAACAAGCCACAAGTTTTTGTTACTGTTCAGCATAAGCATACAGACAGATCGTATGATTCTATGAATCTTTGGCTGAAAGGTGTCAATAAAAATGAGTTTTACGTCTGCATAAGAGAGTTCATGGCGTTTGATGGCATCCATTCGGACCTAAAAGTGGTATGTAGTTTTCAGAATTTAACGATAAATGGATTGTATTACTCTCAGACTGTAATGACCGGTAAGCGGCATAATCCTATGTAACGCATCAAGGTCCATCGCATGGCGTAAATTTCGTTGGTTGGTTCTTTCACTCTTATTGTTTGCGTTGTTTATTTGTGTCGTAGGTCTTTCCTTCCTTTGTATCACACCAGCTAATTTTTATTTTTTCATGCATAGATTGCGATTATTAACTGTATATATATTCTATGTTCTAATTATTTATTCCTTTGGCTTTACCAGCATTGGTTTGCATATGACGTTCTACCTTCCAACTGGAACTTCACTGAGGAAGGGAAGATTAATTTCGCCGGAAACGGGGCTCCACTGCGAAAAAATAGTTATGCCTTTTGTCAGGTATAAATTGTAATATTGATTTTTTCTTTTTTTGTATTCGTTGCTTTTATCATTGTTTTTTTTCTGTTGTTGATTATAATCAAGCCGCTAATAGATTTTACATATTTAATTTTAACATTTTCAACACATTGAGGCTAAGGCAGTACTGTACGGACTTATCTTTAATTTCATGAACAGGTGGATCCCAGAAACATTGAGATTTTTGTATTTTGTGTGCAATAACAGGATTTGAAGTTTGAAAACCCATTTTATGAGCCGCCTACAGTCTTAATATCTGGAAGTTATGAAAACACCACAAGTGCTTCGTACAGAAAATCAGAAGATCTTTGTAACAATGCTTTAAACGTTTGGATAGAGGTAATAAATTGATACCAGCTACTTTGTTATTTTCTTTCGTTAGTTGATATGTTTCTCTGTTTTGTCTCTTTTTTTTGAAGTTATGACTTTTTCCTTCTCCTCGACCAACTGTTTTATAATTCTCTTTGCAGGAAGTCAGTCGGTCAGAGTTTAAGGTTTGTGTCAAGGACAGCCAGGGACTGAGCAAGACCCATGACCCAGTAACTGTAAAGTACGCTGTCATCGGAGGTGGGCAATAGACAGATAATTTAATTTGTTTTACACTAGTGACAAGGCATGCCAAAAATTACTAATCATTCCAAAGCATGGGCTAACACAAGGACTTACCTAAACCAAGACGCCGGTCACCAACAGATATTGAAAAACGTTTGGAAAGTTTATCTCACAAGGAGGCTTACGACGTTTTCATTAGGTTTTAACACCAATTATTTAATGATAATTTTTTTCAACAAGTATCGATCAACTTTAGACCTATATTGTAAGACTACCCTAGTAACACTATAGCTCTGAGTTTCCCTACTATTTTCGCTGTAGGATCCCAAATTTTGAAAATGAGTTCAATGGCCCCATATCAAGATTCAAGTATCTGCAAAAGATTTTTTTTTTTTATCTCTAACTCTCTCTCATATAACTGCATATACAAAATATCTTTAAAAATCCGGAGAAAATGAATCTTGATATACTGATTTCAAGTTAAATAAAAGGGGACTTCGAATTTGTTTCTTCACAAATTTGTTTTGAGGTTGCTTTTCTATTTTAACTTCAAGAGAGAATCAAGAATGACTTAGTAGCTTAATGTTGTGGAAAGCAAGAAAATGATTAGTCAATCAGGAGAGTCAGTCTCTCATTTATTCCCCACCTTTACCTTAATAAAACACTGTAAACACTGCTCACTTGGTGGTTATATTTGATACTATTCCAAAGACCTTGACCCGTGCATCAACGTTACATGCGATTACTTTGCTGTCTGCAAGGCATTTCACGCATTTGATGCCCGTTGTGTGTGCGAAGAAAACTGCCCTTCATATGAAGAACAAGTGTGTTCATCTAACTCGACTACTTTCAAAAACAAGTGCATATTTGAGCTGGAAGTGTGCAGACTGAGCAGCAACCACACTCTCTATCATCCTGGAAGTTGCACGGGTAAGAAGAGGAGATGTGATTGTTGGCATGCTTTTATGTGTTTAGGATCGGGAGGGTTTCATGTTACTCATACGACTGCTTAATTCATGAAATAATGAAACGCGAGGATAACAGCTATTGGGAAGAGGTTGTTTGATTTTGTTGCTTTAACATTTGCTGATGCCATTGGGAAACGTTTTGCTACCGATCACAGTTACATGTGATCACAGTTACATGTGATTTCGAGATAAATTAAGGGAATGTGTTTGGCATTTTTAGGAAATGGTACCATCAGATAGCAGCGTAATAACGCATACCAGGCTATTTAGGGGAGAATAAAAAATACCCATCACAGCACATGGCTGAAGGTTGAAATTATTGCAATGTTTACTTTAGGTTTTCCTCTTCAGAGAGGAAGAATTGAGCTGAAGAGAGATGTTTCCTGGGCTGAGACGGCTTGCGAGTTGGTGATCTTCCCGCCATTTTCGTTCTATCCAGACAAGGAAGTGCATGTGCAAATTACGACCAATTACTGGAACTCCACCAGAAGGAATTTTGTGCACGAAGCCACCGTCTCGTGGGTGGAAAATGTCAATTACCAGAATTTCAGGGTTGGTTATTCTTGAATTACCAGACAGAAATGATTCAAATTTTGTAACTTTGGATCGAGATTATTTCACCTTTTTGCGGGACCCCATGTTTACCACAATTTCTTTATTTCTTGAAGGTTTGTGCGACTGCTGCAGGAAGAAATGATCGTGGTACGAAAGAATTTGCGACCGTCGACTGGATGGCTTACCAAGGAGCTCCAAACGGAGGTGTAACAGGAAATACACGTATTCCAGAGTGGTGGACTGGAACGAAGTGCACAGAAATTAGTCTGCCAAAGGTGAGTGTTCCTTTATGTTCACTGAAATCATAAGTTGATAAGGATGATGTCCTCTAGGTTTTTTTTCCTCTTATTTGGATAGAAGGTTTGCATATTATTGTTGTTCTTCACAACGACGATTATAAAGCCAGGTGGAACACTCCAGCCAAATTTATACCGTGATTTTGTAGTTTTAGATCAATTCTAACAAAATGGCGAAATATGACTGACCTAACTAACAAGCATCAACCAATTCTTTACAATTAAAGGATAAATTTGCAGCTACACCCGTAATTCTGGCGACAGCAGATCACGTAACTTCAGCTTTCAAGCACGACGCCGCCAGTCTGTGGATAGAAAATGCTACCAGTACTACCTTTCACATTTGCCTCCGAGAGTTACAAAATTACGATGGTCTTCATGAGGACATCCTCGTGGTCTGTACCAACTTAATTTCTGTGCACGATTCGAGGAGTGTGTGTATTCAGAAATCACAAGTTTTGTAAAGCGTTTCTGTTTGATCGTGTATTTGCCTTCCTTCTTTTTCATTTGTTTTGTTTTATATATATTTTTTTATTTGTTTCAATTTAGCATATTTCAAAGTAAGTCATTGACATAGGATGATTGATCGGTAAACTATTGGTCCAACAGAATATCCTTCTCCAAAATCAAGATAGGCATTCCCCATTCGCAAAGTGAACATCAATGTTTTTAATTTTAACATTACGTTAGCAGAGAATATTGGGATACCTTTCATGGAATAAAAAGGGAATCGAAATCAGTCCCAGTAACATTAACGTTGTATAATCTGACCGAAATTGCCTAATTTTCTTGGTTTATGGTAAAGCAACTTTGTATTAACTCGTTGTTTAAATTTATCTTTCTAGAACTGGATGGCTTTTGAAAGAATTCATCGCCCGCTTTTCACTGAAAGTAGAAAAATCGACTTTCCTAACAACAGCTCCGTTTCTGCAAACTACAATGGTGCGTTCTGCAAGGTAGACTGCACATAAGGATCCATGTTGAACAGGGAAATATCAAAGCTTGTGAATGTGTGGCCGGAAAATTGCCGCGCATATTATGGCTTCTGCTTTGATTTAGTATTAATAACTCGGATTATTCTATCAAGTTCCTCTTATTTTTTCATCGTATTCATTTCTGCCTTTTTGTCGGCATTAAAAGTCTCACTTACCTTATTGATACAACGTGATTAAATAATGATTTTAATGAAACACTTACGGCTGATAGACTACCTGTTAACAATTGTCTTTGTTGCTTTGTTTTTTGTTTTTTGTTTTTGTGATTATTATTTGGCTGCTTTTTTGACACCTTTGGTGCTTTTCCCTACAGGACGTGCAGTTCGTTAAGACTTATGACAAGGAACCTACGGTAATAATCACTGCGAATCACAATTCAGAAGGAAACAACCTAAAGCCAAAGTACATATCTGTTACTGCATGGATAGAGATATTTTAAATATATATATATATATATATATATATATATATATATATATATATTTGTTTTTTTTTTTCGTTTTCGGTTAGCTGTTTGCTAAAGTGTCTAATTTATCTACATGACTGTGCAGTTTCTCGATCCATTTAGTCAGCTCAATCGTAACTGTGAAGTGTTCAGATGTGTATAGTAGTCATTCTTCTGCCACATGCGAATCCTTACCCGCTTGGATTTCTTTTTCTGACTGAATATTTTTTTGCAGCATATCAAGACATCAGAATTTCGTATTTGTCTCAAGGAGTTGTTTGCTGACCAGCATGACCCCGTTAGCGTGTCTTACGTTGTCCTGGCGGGTAAGCACAACTACGAATGAAACAAAGTTATTATTGTAAAAGTTATTAAATCTAAAATTTTAGCAGAGTTGTGAACTAACTATACTTCATCTCTGACATTTGTTTGGCTTAGATGTGTGTAAACCAGGCTGGTCTTACTTTTCTGGCTTTTGCTACTCCACAAGTCAGTTGTGCAAAAACTGGACTGAGGCGCAAAAAACCTGCCAACTATACAACACCAGCCTCATCGCCGTAAAAAATCAAGAGGAAAATGTTTACATACAGCACCGTCTGAATGGAGACAAAGGATGGATTGGATTTAATGACAGAGACACCGAGGGCACTTTTGTTTGGGCTGGCAACCAGCTAAGCAACTTCACATACTGGGCTCCACATCAACCAAACGATTTCCGACTGAACGAGGACTGCGTTCACACCTTGGGAGCTGGACATAAATTTACATGGAATGACGTAAATTGTAGGAGCTGTCATAATTACACATGTGCTGATGGTAAATGCGATATTTTTTCATCCGCAAAACAATACCCTTTTAGTCACTAACAGTTGCGACCAAAAGAACAATTCATGACCTTGAAGAATTGCAGGTACTCGGTGCAATCTGGAGAGATTTTGAATTAGAGTCATTGTCCTCACCCTGTCCATCTTTCCCTTCGTTCCCCTAGTTTCTCTCCCTCCAACCCATGACTCGGCATTTCAAGCATTTTCTAATTGGTAGCTTGTTTGCTAATTCCTTTTGTTGTGGTTACTTTGCTGTTGTTGATTCCCCATACTTTTTTTTCTCTGTTGTAAGACCTTGATGAATGCAGAGGAAGTTATCATGACTGCAGCAAGAATGGGATTTGTACAAATACACAGGGATCATACAACTGCCGCTGTGCCAGTGGATATAGCGGTGATGGTCGGAATTGTACAGGTATTGATTGAGGAATTACTTTCAATTTATTCACATTCAGAAACTCAATCAAGCACAGCGTCAATACTGATAGAGACATTTTTAAAGTCCATTTGCTACTTGGTATTGTCATTTTTTCCAAAGTTGACATTAAAAAGACAGGACAAATATTTAAATTGCAAGAGCCTGAAACTGACGTAATGACCATACCAAGTCATGCTGACTGACTAAGTGGTGATAAATTTACCGGTTGACTGACTGGCTGACCAACGACCAACTCTTCTACTAAGTAAATGAAGGAAAAGCCACCACCTGAATCACATGGGCCAAGATCTAATCTATTCATTTTTATTTTTGAGTGCTACAGACCTATTATTTTAGTTCATGATCCTGACTGAACACCTTTTGACCATCATTTGCCTAGTCTTCTGCCAAAAATATTCTTCCACGTAATAAACTCTGAGGATGTTGCAGCCCTTTACATCACGTCTATCGTTTCTATCGCAGACTTAGATGAATGTTCCTCAGGTCACAGCTGTCATAGTAATGCCACGTGTCAAAACACAGTTGGATCGTATAAATGTACTTGTGTTAATGGTTATACTGGAGATGGAATCACCTGCTCAGGTACATTGTGCACCGAAGTTGAAGCATTTCTTGTTGCAGCTTCGCTAGGTTTCATCCTGTAAAATTCCTGCCTCACCGTAAATAAGTTTTCAATGATCTTGCTCTCACAGCTATCACTACTTCAAGTCTACAAAATTTTATTCCTGTGACTTTTCTACCCAAAAAAATCAGTGGCGCACTTTTTCAATCACCACTTTCAAGTCAGAAGAGGAAAATCGAGTACTAGATTCTTATTTCCCTTATATTCCATGTTTTCAATGACTCACATTAAAATTGCTGCTTCGACTTTATTTCGATCCTTTGAACCCGAAGGGCGATTGTTATGTAAAGTCTCATTATAATATTTCACGCACATCACTCCTTAAGGTCACGAGAATTAATTAAGGAAGTGATCACCAGCTAGAGAAGCTCTTGATTGTTAAACAAATTCCCTTTTTCAGCACCTAAGGTAATGCATAGAGAACAGTACGTGCATACTGATGTTATGGTGTAAAAGGTTAAGACCATTTTATATGTTCCATGGCCTGTTAGGTTATTCTCAGTCTACTTTGTTGTATTTTCGTTTTGTTTTTTTTAATCTTGGTAAAATCACCCAACACACGAACACATAGAAAAGGCTGGTCATATCCGTGCCTTATTTTTTTTAATATAGTAAGAGTGGTTTAATTCGAGGTAAATAAAGATTTTTTGTTTGATACACCTATGATTTGTGAGGTCTCCCATGCAGGCATCACTGGTGACTTCCCTAAAACAGCTCTGATTAAAAAAGACTTCATAGGAGACCTTTGGATCTGTTTTTTTTTTCTCCCTTATATATGTAGATGTCGATGAATGTACACTTAACAGTCATAACTGTGATGCCAACGCGCAATGCACCAACACATTAGGATCATTTACGTGCCAGTGTGACCATGCGGCTCACTACTATGGAAACGGAACAAAGTGCTACACTTTCAGTAAGTGCTTAGACATCTGATAATTTGATGATCGTCTTTTTGCAAATGAACCAGCAAGGGTAACGAAAAGTTTACTTCATTTTACTTTATTTTTCCACCACCTCGTCCTGCTCTTCCGCTTTTCCCCACAAACGTCAGGAGAAGTAGCATACATACAAACCAAGCCCCGAATTTTTCTAAGGACTTTACGTGTAATTATAGGAAAATTTCTACATCACTTACATTTGGTTCTTCTTCTTATCTATCAGGAGGATTCGCTAGCTCAAAAATTATAGGTAAAGACACCAAGAAAAATTCCCAGTTAAATTCCTGGCTACATTCCCGCTTACAGAGTCCGTCTAAAAGTTACTGGAGTTTGTGTTATAGAGCCTCGAGTCATGGATGGAGTTCCTCAACATTTCACAGCCATTGTGATGGCCGTGGGCCCACAGTGACGATCATTCGTGCTCATGGTTACATATTTGGCGGTTACACTGATCAGTCATGGGCATGTAAGTTCGTTAACTATCACGGTGACCGGTATTTTAACTGTATTTTACCTATGCAGTATTACAGTATTTTAACTATGACGGTAACTATTTACCGCCTCCCAGTTGGCTCTATGGATAGAGCGCTGGACTGTTGAGCGGGAGGTCGAGGGTTCGAGCCCCGGCCGGACCAACACTCAAGGTCTTAAAACAAGTGAGAAGAATATGCTACCTTTCTATATCAAGAAATGGTTAGATACTCTAGTCTTCTCGGATAGGGACGAATAAATGGAGGTCCCGTCTCCTGCAGGGCTAGGGGTAGGAGACGTTAATTTCCCACGCACGAGATTACTGTGTGATGGATGTCCTCCCCTGGGGTGGTTGCTGGGTGGGAATTGGCCCTGAAAAGCCCCCGTGGGGAGTGGTCAATTAACGTGTGTGTGTGTGTGTGTATGGTGACCGTAGTGATTAAAAAAATTATAGACAAACTCAAATGTACAACATTATTTTATGGCGAGGGAGGTCTTAATGCAGAAGTGAGCTCTTTGATTGGTTCTTACTTTGTCGGTGTTTTGTCTTATAGACCTTTTCCACAGATACAATCATAAGCCGGGCGATGTGCACACTCCGATTACATCGCATTGAGGTTTCGTTATTTTCAATATGGCGATAAAAGCGGCAGAAATCGGCAGATTTTGACCAAATATTCCGTAAAATTTAGGCCGTTTCTTTTTCATTTTACTATAGGCAAATGTAATTTGATATATTCTGAATGTGCAGAATTATCTTTTGTACGTATTTGTCGCGTATTCTATCGCTCTCAAGTACGAACGCAAGCACTGTTTTTTAACATGTAATTTGAGACCGGTTTTCAGTAAGGTCAAATTTGTTGTACGCCTTAGTTTGAAGCCTTTCGAAGATTTGTATGGCCTCTTTGATCCTTCTTCAATGGCTCTGACCAAACGCTCTCAAACGCTCTCTGACGGTACAAATGTTTTATGCATTTTAAGTGATATTAATAGACATTCTATTACGTCCTATCTACACACAATACATTTTATACATGTAGAAGTGACGTCATACCTACAGACAATAGTTTTATGCGCTCTTGTCTTCACAAGTGCAGCTCAGGAATATGCGTAATAGAACAATTACTGGACTCGGTTTTCCTATGATAGCGATAATTATCGAGACCTCAGTTTGTATCATCCGCCTTAGCCTTCGGCTCCGGCAGACAAATTTTGGCCTTGATAATTATCGCTGTCATGCTCAGTCTCATCCAATAATGCGTTTAGTGTGTTACGTTACATGGTGTTACCACTGCAAGGATATTTACTATATTTACTCAATCGTGTTGTAAATTTACTTTCTTAAGTGTAGGCAAATGAACTAATCGCGTGTTGTATGGTAAATCTGCTATCTTGCTCGTTCAATGCAGGGCAGTTTAATTAAACCAATGAAAAAAGTCACTTTATCCATGAAAACCTCTAACTTGCGTGAGGCAACACGCTAGTCTGAATTTTAGCCGTCTCTTCACTTTACCCCAAGGGGGGCACAGGAGAGAGAGTCTCTCTCCCGCGCCCCCTTGGGTTAAACGGAAGAGACAGCTGAAATTCAGACTAGCGACACGCCGATAAACCGGAAAGCGAAAGGCAGTCGACCGTTAAAAGGAGTTGATAGGCCTGTGCGTCTCCTACCATTCGCTAGCGCTTTTAAATTTTCTACCCTCATAGTTAAGCGTGCTCCGTGTGATTTTGGGGTCTAAAGGTCATTAACGGGAATACCTAACATATTAAGATCGAATTTTAAGCGTAAGCGTGAGCCGTTAGAAAAAGTAAAACTTTGCGGCTTTCTTTGTAACGCGCGTGGTGCTACCAGTCAACTGTATTCCAGTCTATATACAGTTGACTGGTAGCCGCCACGCGCGTTACAAAGAAAGTCGCCAAAACAGCATTAAAAGGACCACCGGCGACTACGGAAAAAAGGCAAGGAGACTTCATACATTATATTCCTTGCTTCTACTGTCCTTTTAAATTTTTTCTTAAATTTATTATAAGTTTTGCTTTTTTTAACGGATCAAGCTCACGCTTAAAATTCGATCTTAATGTGTTAGCTGTTCCCGTTTTTTAACCTTTAGACCCCAAAATCACGTCACAGTACGCTTGAGCCACCAGCGGTGTTATAAAACACAATATACTTCCTTCTGTGCGCGGGCTATTTTCTTTGTTTTAAAATAAACTTTCCCTCCTGCCGAAATAATTCCAGAGATACGTTTCCCAAAACCCTCATCTAGGTTTCCCTTATTCTCAAAAACAAACTATTTGCTAAACTTGCCTGTTCGAGCAGTGCAGGGGAATACTGACCCTCGGTCGTATTTGTACAGACCTCGGGCCAATATATTTTCCAGCAGTGCAGCCCTCGTGCTTGCCGTTAGTAAGAAGTCGTCAATTATCTTGTATTTCATAAATGACATCAAGCTCAAACTACTTAACGTTTTCTAAAAATTATATTTACATTTGGTTTATGCTGTCAGGCAAAAAGTATGTGAAGAAAATGAAAAAAAAAATACTGTAAATATAAAAGGCAATTGATCTGTTGCAAACCTAATAGTGAGAGGAGACCAAGCTTTTCAGATGATTTGGTGCGACTGTACTAACTATAATGGAGTTTAATTAAAGATAATTTGGTTTCTGTCACATGGATGGCCTTCTTCAACCCCTGTTTTACGAGCCCTAATTATCAGTTAACATATTTTCTTTTGTACACATTTGAGCTAATATTTCTAATCTACCACATGTGCTCTATTTCAGATTACTACAGGTACCGGTACTATTATGGTTATAGGTATTATGGACAGTACGTTTCTTCAACAAAAGCCTTTATATTTTCACTCAAAAACTACTACGGATATGGATATTTTAAAAAGGACATTAGCGGTTATAGTTACGCAATGTACAATCATTATAATTATGGTCCGACATTCGGCGGAGGACACGATATTTACGTTGCAGGCAATGCAAATAGTAACTATAATTCTTACTTTAATTCGTACTCTTATACCGGTAAATACTCTACCAATTATGTCTGGACAGGAAATAACAATTTCTGCGCAGATGAGGTAGAGGTTTACTATGAAGTGACCAGTTAGTCGAGCACTATTAAAAAAAAAATCATGCAACATTGTTAGCTAGCGTGGGAGAGTCTTCTTTACTTCAATGTGTAAAACAAGTACGTTGTATCTCCACAGGCAATATAGTGCTATTCGTGCATGATCAAACAGAAGCATGTTCCGCATTGATTGAATTTATTACCTGGTACAAATAGGTCTGCAATTTGATGATGTAATGAGGTCAGGGTCATTTTACTTTCGTAGTTACTGCTTTACTGGAAGGAAGATTATCATTTCATGTGGTCAGAAATTCGGTTAAAACTTTCTAAAAATTTCACACAGATAAAGATTATATGATATTTTCTCGTTATGAAGCGAACTTTTTGGTGTTCAAACGCCTTTCACCAAATAAAAGCTACTTCGTTTTTACAGATATTCATCTGAATAGTGGTCAGTCATGCCTTCGCTTCATTTTTAAGGAATTAAAGCTAACCGAGGAAAGGTAAAAACATCAAAAACTAACGTAGTGGGCTAAGAATGAGACACATGAGTAAGAAGCTTGATTTTATATAATAGAAAACTACCGACAACATTTATCTTCAAGTAATTTTGTGTGAATGGTATGAAGCATATTTTCACATAGACAGAATTTATAGCGCTGCTAACTCATGGCATATTCACAGTCTGACGAGTAAGCTGTGGAAGTTTGTCTCGTCGGTGAAGATATACGCAAACTCCTTTCATATGACAATAGTTAGTTAAATGTTTCCATGATCATATTGATTAAACAAATAATTGTAATTCTCGGTCAGAGCGTTGACTTAACAAAAGCCAGAAGGTCGTATTTCAGTTTGAGAGATGTACTTACAACTTTTCTATAAAATATTGTAAACACGGGATATGATTTTTGGAATAAGAATTAGTGAGAGTTTATATTGTGTAACAGCTGATACAATAAACGGATGATCTCTGTAATGGTGTAGAGATTATTTTTTTGCCAGCATTGTAATAACCACAACATAACATTCGGTGATAGTGCTGATAAAGGCTCTAGCGACAGCCCGAAAAAAAAAGAATAATAATAATAACTGTCCGACGTTAGAAAGCAACATAGTGATACAAAAGTTTTCTTCGACCTGCAGAAGTTATTTTAACTGCGGACTATGGGTGGATACCGGTGTGCAATATAACTAGTGATGAGCGAGCTTTGCAGTGGACTGTATGCTCAAAAAAGGAGGGGAACGACTACCGACACTGATTAACCCATCCTTAGAGAACCAGGCGCTGTAAGTCGATTTCAAGTTAGGGCGGAAGAACCCCTGGGGACAATGTCTTACAAGACTAGTTCTAAACGATCACAGTCGTTCTGGCATCTGATTGGTGCCAGAAAGCCTTTGTGTTTTTTTTTTTGCCCAATCAGAGTGAAGTGTGCATTAGAGTCCTTCGTGTGTTTTAACACGGAAATATACAAGGAGCTCCTGTTTGTTTGGGCTGTGTGACAAAGCTTTGCCCGAGGCGAAAAGTTCCAGAATCAGCACACAATGTAAGAGAAATCGATCAGATTGCCCGCGAAAATCTTACCGGAAATCATACTGAATACTTTCGCAAGTATAACAAGAGAAAGTGTTTAAAAGTTTTCCAGGTTCGTACAAAACACAATGATTGCAGGCGTTAGTGTGTCGCTTTAAACGTTATACGAGATGTAAGCTTACATATTTCTAGATTTTTTGTATATTTTGCTGTAACTGAAACTTTGCCAATCCCGTGAAGTTATTTCGTCGCACAGACCACGCAGGTATGTCGAGCAATTGGCGCTTACGCAGCTTTCTGTGCGCGCCAAAAGCTAATCTCCTTCTGCTAGTTGTTTAGGTAAGGTTCAGGACTTTTTTACAATAATGAATAATCTGGGTGAAAACGTTTCAGATCGTTGTCGAGTATGCTCTTCTGTTTTTATCACCATTAAGAGAAAAAGAAATCTTAATGGCGAGTTTATGAAAATATTTGAAGAAGTTTTCAATCAAAAGGTTCTACCAGACGATGGTCTTCCGCGTACAGTTTGCGACACTTGTCGTTATAGAAATGAAACATCATGGAAGCGTAATTGAAAGCTTAAGTCTTCAGCCGTCATCCCTGCCGAAGCATCTCTGAAGAGGATATATCCTCTTTCTCCACTAACATCGAGTCAAGAGGACGAACAAACGGCCTCCAATTTCAACAAAGAGAAGGGCTTTCGAATCCCATTTGAAAATTTGCCAATAAGGCCCAAGCCACCATCCTTGGTAGTTTCAGATACCAATTGCAACAAAGAGGCATCGGTAAAAATTTCCCGTGGGAAGAGTACCCAAACAAGAATATCAAATTGTTACTGTTTCCCAGTTTCTACTAAAGAAACATTTGTTAAGGTTTGCACAGATGCAATACAACCTATGTTGAAAAAAAAAAAAAAGAAAAGCTAAGCGTGGAAACTTTTGTTGATTAGATGTGGGTAGATGACCCTGTACTAAGCTAACATTTGCAACAAAGTAAACCCGCCCTTTCCATCCAGTATATCTTGGTCTTTGGATTTGTTTTCCCCAATGAAAGCAGCATCTATTCCCAATGATCTAAGGTATTTAACTTGGTCTTCAACAATCGACAAAAGAGGTGAAATGACAATGACCAAGGGACTAGGAGAGAATCCGTGGCCTTTCGAGGTCAAGAATTTGAACACTCCAGGCAGCAGTTGAAAGATTAAGCTCTTTCCAAACCCCGTCGGTAACTGTCCGAAAACATCTCTCCTTCCCAGGACGTTCTCGATAATAATAGGTTTTTGTTCAGATTTTAATTCGCCAACCGGAAACACAGCTAAGCTTTCTCTAAGTGCTTGCTGGAGGTCGTCCATGAACTTAACGTTCTCTGCAACCTTAGCCATATTGTGAAAGACTTCAATAACCGCCTCCCGGTTAGCTCAATGGATAGAGCGCTGGACTGTTGTGCGGGAGATCGAGGGTTCGAGCCCCGGCCGGACCAACACTCAGGGTCTTAAAATAATTGAGAAGAATTTGCTGCCTTTCTATAACATCAAGAAATGGTTAGATATTCTAGTCTTCTCGGATAGGGACGAATAAATGGAGGTCCCGTCTCCTGCAGGGTTGGGGTAGGAGACGTTAATTTCCCACACACGAGATTACTGTGTGATGGATGTCCTCCCCTGGGGTGGGATGGGTGGGAGGGTGGACTAGCACGAATGGTTCCTATGTTCCTTTCTAGTCCTTCCCCACTGCAAAACTTAATGCAGTGAAAATGGACTAAATTAAATTAAATTAAAAGACTGGAACCGAATGAAAAGCATGAGTGGTTTCATCATTTGGGACTTTGGAAATATATAAAGAGCATTAAGGTTTTCTGANATCATTTCACATTACCAGTTTTAGTAACATCCTTCAATTTTCCATTGTGCACGCTGGTGACGTCAGCAAACAAATGCCTCGACAAAAAATTTTTTTTCGCGAGTGACTTCAGTATTATTTATCAAAAAACGGGAAAAACTTCTGCAAAAAAGTTAAACTAGACATGGCAACAAGCGAACAAGCCGATAAAGATCTGCCTACTTTTCCTTTGGGAATGGATTTTTTAACTCCCGAGAAAGAACCCAGAGAAAGGGAAAACAAACAATCAATAGTTTCATCTCGTATCGTAACTCTAACTTTATTTCCACGCATCAATTCATCTGCCAGTTTTTGACTAATCTGAGACAATATCATTGGAGCATGACGATATACTTTTCCGAAACAAAATAAACAATGCATTGAAGCGTAAGAGAGGGAATTTCTGCCCTTTATACATAAAATACAGCGATGAAAATGTTATAAAACAATTGTTTTATTATTTTTTTTTTTGTTTTAACGACTTTACCGGGTGTGACTAGACCCGGAAGGGTAAGTGCGAACGGAACACAAGGTCCATGCGAGGCATTACCCCTCCCCACTCATTCACCCTGGATAGACACTGCACAAAGATAGACCACAACACCGGGCACTGCGGGCCCTACTCTTTTCGAGGAGTGTGTGGGTTCTTTAACTTCCCACAAATTTAAATCACATATATAAGGGCTTGTGAGACGGGACCTCCATTTATCGTCCCTATTCGAGAAGACTAGAAAGTCTAACCGTTTGCAGATATTATTACGAAGGCAGCACTTTCTACTCAGTCATTTAAAGACCCTGAGTCAAGTTGGTCCGGCCGGATTAGAATTCTCGACCTCCCACACAACAGTCCGGCGCTATACCAATTGAGCTAACCGAGAGGCGGTTGAAACAAAAAAAATAAAACAATAAAACATATAATTGGAGTGCGCAAACCGCCTGGCTTACGACTGTATCCGTGGACGAGGTCGAAAGGACAAAACACCGACCAAGTAGGAACCAATCAAAGAGCTTGGTTTTACATTAAGACAATTGGAGGCAATTGGTTTATGTGTCAGCTGTGCGTTCATCGAGACTTGAAGCAATGAGGAAGTTTGGAGAGCACTCAAGAAGCTGGAGTTAAGTTGCTCTCGGCTGCACCTCGACAAACTCTTAGGCATCTTTCGTGCTCTCCAAACTTCCCGCGTGCTTCAAGTCTCGATGAACGAACGCTAACGCATGAAACAATCGTACTTTACAGGTATTGAACTCAATAAAACCAGTAAAAGAAACAGGATATTTAACGGTAGAGCTAAGCTTATATATTTAACCTTACTATTAAAGTTTCTCTGTCAGTATTCTTATCCAATTCGCTGTTGTTTGCCCCCCCCCCCCTTCGAAGTTGTGTACATGAATATCCTTAATTTTTTAAGCAATTATATTAAGTGAGGTGTTCGTCCCAGCATCATAGCTTGTTGTGAAATCGACCCTCACAGTTTTGCCAGTATTTTCGTAGTTTGGACTCACATGTGGCTCGTTTGTTATCTCGTGAGAACTAGTATGAACTTTCCACATATTTGGCTAGCTTTCAAGCAATGAAGTTCGTAGACCGGCCGGCCCATTCCGAATCACTCAACATCATTTAGCGTGGGCCTACCACGAACGGGGTGTGCGTTTGCGTGTGGGATGAGCTT